ATATTCCAAGACCTGATACACCTTAACGTCAGAGGCCGAACGTCACATTTATTTGGCACTCTTATAGGCATTAATTTTAAACGATATTCCGCAGGAATTTTCAGAATTTTTGATGCGATTTCAGGAATTAAGCTGCTATGTTGTGCACAATCCAGGAAAAAAATTGATCACATGAAGATGATCATGAAGAACCAACCGTTCTGAATACTACCTGCAGTAGAACGAAAACTTTGAGATATTTTCAAGCATATACCATTAAAACTGAGAGATTAGTTTGAGTACATACGGTCGGACGTCATGGCTATTGTTGATACTCGTTAAGAATATGTGTATATACCTTAGACTAATATTATACTTTAGAATAAACCGTATAAGCAGTTACTAGTTAATGTCACACATTTGTCTCATTATGAACGGCGTTTACAGATTATAAGAAAACATCTTCATATTTCAATATCTTTGGTTTATGTACATCCTAATACTATTTCCAGAAGTCGTTCTCATAAACTTAATTAAAAACAGGTATATTTTGTAATAATTCACAAGGTATGGTATTTAAAAAAAATTATATATGGCATTTTTAAATACCCTTTCTATAATGTATAATTCAAGTCTCCTACTTGAAATCTATGGCAGTATAAAAATTATCTATTTTAATAAGTTTTTTATAATTGTCGTACAACTAAAGTATCTTAAACTAAGCTTTTGAATAATTCAAAATGCTTACGCTGTAAAGGGTTAATTGTCTCCTCTCTTAATAAGGTCCTCTCATATGTAATATAATAGTTATATAATATTATAGTTAATATTCCAAGGCAGTAAAAGAGACATTCGCGACCATAAAGAATATATATTCTTAACAGTCCGTCCGTCCGTTTATTTCTACCTAAACTAGTCTCTCAGTCTCTAGTTTAAGCTATATATAACTGGTGGGTTTTCCAAAAGTGGTAGAGCTAAAGTTTTTTATTTAGAGCTCTTTCTATGATACGTAAATAACTTTTTGTTTTTAATAAACAAACAAAAAGACAACGCATACAACAAACCATATATTTTTTCAAATTTCAATCAAATCCTTGTTTTGAGAAACTCTTTTCGAATCCACAGCTGATCAGTTGTCGATCACAGCAAAGCCTCAAATGTTGCTTAGATCGGCAGCTAAAAAAGATTCCGAGCAATCCGATCAAGGGAGGCCAATTTGGGCCTGCTAGAGATTTCGCTTTACCAGCACTGGTTTCTCAAGCAGTGATTCCACCTGTCCCGATTAGTTAACCACCAAAAAGGAATATTGAGTCCCGGACTACCGGTGCAAGTTTGCCCTTCACGGTGGTCACACTCAAGAAACAAATTTTCGTTTCTCGTTTTCCCAGATCATCTGATGTATTGTATTGTATACAAAACAAAACACAAACCGATAGCATAAAAAGGAAAAAGTTAATTTTTCTTACGCTTATTTCATCGTTCAAGATAACTGTCTCTGACGAGCTGTTTCATCCATATGTTCTTGTGATTTTTAGTCGGATAGACTGGTAGTGAAAGAGTTCAAGATCAACAAGATAGAATTCTATAGTCGAGCTGCGCGACTATCAAATACCCGTTACTTAGCTACTGGAAGCGCAAACGAGAAATTTCAAAATTTTCTGAAATATAAAAAAGGAAATAATAAAATGAAAAAAAAGAAAATATTGTTTAAAGTGTGGGCGGAAGAAGTTCGGGCGTTTTGTGGGCTTGCAAAAAGTTTTTTTGCAAATCTATAGAAATGTACAATATATATAAAATAATGAAAAAATATCACATTTTTCAAAAGTGTGGGCATAACAGTTTTGTGCGGTTTGTGAGTGTTGGAGTAGGCGTGGCTAAAAGTTTTTGGCAAATCTATAGAAATTTAGAAGATATATAAAAAAAAAAGTATCACATTTTTCAAATTGTGGGCGTCACAATTTTAAGCGGTTTGGAATGGGCGTGGCAAACATTTTTTTGGCAAATCTTAAGAAATTTACAAGATATATAATATTAAAAAATTAAAAATACCACATTTTTCAAAATTTTGGGCGTGACAGTTTTGTGCGGTTTGTGGGCGTGACAAACAGTTTTTTAGCAAGTCTGTACAAATTTACACAATGTACAAAAAAATAAAAAAAAAATATCACAACATTCTTCAAAGTGTGGCCGTGACAGTCTTGTCAACATTTGGAAACTTGCGTCTATGGCTCAGGAAGCTTCATGCTTAATCTCAACATTCTAGCTTTTGTAGTTCCTGAGATCGAGGAGCTCATACGGACAGACGGACATATCCTGATCGACTCGGCTATTGATCCTGATCAAAAATATGTATACTTTATATGGTCGGAAACATTTCATTCTGCCTGTTACATAATTTTAAACGAATCTAGATTACCCTCTACGAGTAACGGGTATAAAAATTAGAAAAAATTGACCGTGGGAATTCCCCCACGTGGCAAACCACTGCCATTTCTGCCGAAGGCTCCGTTTATATAACTGGCTCTTACTTTCCGCTGTCTTCTAAATTCCCAGAATAAATATCATTTGTCCGCTATCCAATCCGTCTCAATTAAGCTGTCTGATAAGGAACCAATTGGTAGTTCTATGTGATTTTAATATACTTGGCACTAGGTGGTCCACAGAAGAAAAATCGAATATACTTCTTCTTATATCACAAGTAAGTTAATTATATTCAAAATTCTCTTGGTCGATTTTTGGAACTATGTCTTGTAACAAGGTTTGAAAATGTTTTTGTCCAGAGTAGCACCTCTTACTCTACCTGAAGATATGGATTGGTTGGATATCATCCAACTTTTGAGGTGACAATCGACACAGGTACCGCAATAAAAGAGTAATCAGAAAAGATAACAAACTTTCTGAGGGTAAAAAATTTTAAAGCTGGCTTTAATTGGTCCGATCTTTACTCCTGCAAAAAGTTGGCGGATGCCATAACAATTTTGTATAGCGCAATTAAATCAAGTTTGTAACTTTTGTGTTCCGATATACTATTCGTCTATCTTCAACAAACCTCATTGGCTTAATAAACACCTAAGAAAAATAAAGTCCAGACTTCATTCAAAATTTAAAAAAACCATCTGTCTTTTCTAAATAGTTAGGTGCTCGGTTAATGTGCCTACCGTGCCTAATGCTCAGTGTTACAAAGCTATTTAAACCATTGTAAGTTTCAGTTCGCACAGGATCCGAAACAGTTTTATAACTTCGTTAACACGAAGCGAAGAACGTTTTCCTACCCTTTCTCGTTATTTTTGAAAATTCTACTGTAACATCGGATCAGGTAAAAGCCGATCTATTTGCCCAATTTTTTCAAAAATCATATTCTACGATACCTTATTCCGAACAGCCTTATTCTTACGCGGTATCAAAATCGAATTTAATACTTCGTCCCACTCTAAATGAAAGCTCACTGCTTTACGATTTTCAACGTGTTAGGCCTGTCTATTCGCCAGGTCCCGACGGAATTCCTGGCTGTGTGCTTAGGTTCTGTGCGGAAGCCCTGTGCAAGCCTCTTCTGAAACTGTTTACATTATCTCTGTAATCTTCACAGTTCCCCCATATATGGAAGGAGTCCTTCGTCATCCCTCTCCAAAAAAAGGTAACAAATTGGATGCAAAAAATTAAAGAAGAATCTCTAAATTGTCGGCTATACCTAAGCTTTTCAAAATATTATCACTCCTCATTTGCAGCACCTTTGTAGGTCAATTATAAACCCCAGATCAACAACCACTAACCTTTTGGAGCTAACTTCCTTCCTAATACAGGGCTTCAAAAATAATCTTCAAACAGGTGTCATCTACACTGACTTTAGTAAAGCATTTGACTCTTGGTTAGGAAACTTTTTTTTTTTAGGTTTCCCTGTTGATCTTCTAAATTGAATTTTAAGTTATGTAAATAGCAGAACGCAACATGTCCTCTTTAAAAATTATCTTTCTTGTAATCCCATGCGGCGTCCCACAAGGGAGCCACCTTGGTCTGCCCCTTTTTACATTATTTATTAACAACCTTCCTTTGGCAATAAAACATTCGCGTGTACTTTTGTACGCAGACGATGTTAAATTATGCCTGCAATATAAGAACATTTCATTATTATTATGTTCTGACTATAATAGACTTTATCCTATTAACTCTAATCCTGACATATTTCCTCGTTCCCTTACTATTTTGTATATTGCGTCTATCTTCACGCGAATCGACCCGTACGATACACGGCAGCGCCCAACGGTCGGTTAGGCGGGAGGTATGGCAGTGGAATTCGCGCGACAAAAAGAACACGTTGCACTGGATTTTAACAATTAATTGTCATACGTTGCAAAATTTCATCAAAAATTGTCAAATATTTCTGTGGGGCATTATCTCCTACCAGCTTAATCAACTACAACTGTTTGGATTTTTTATGTTTACATTCTCACTGATATTTGTCTAGAACCATTTTTTTTAAGCTATCCTTTTTTTTGCCTACTTTTTAATTGTGTGACATTATCATTGTTGTGTATCATTGGGTATCATTGTGTATTTCCGATTTTTCATATACATATATATAATATTCGGATTATTATATATTTGCATACTGAAAAGTTTTACTTAAATCTACTGTAATTCTGCCCCTTGTGATTTAGCTTTTTTAAAGCTAAAGTTTTCAAGATACTTTCGGTAGCGATATGTAAATCGCATAAAATGAACTCTAAAAACCAAGTGGCTTTCGAATATAGTCCTGATCTAAATTACACGCCCAAATCACTTTGAAAAAACTTCATACAGCTCAGTCGTGTTTTTTTGCACATACATATTTCAACAGGTTAACATCCGTATTTGGTTATTAAGATAAGCAAAAATTTTATATTTTTGTATATTTTATAAAAATAATTATAAAAGTATATAAATATATATGTATATCTGTATGTATGTATGTATATAATGTTAATTTTAAGACATACACCCGTTTTTATTGTACGTCATTCCTTTCAACAAAATGGCAAACTCACCTTTATTCGTCGAATTCAGTAAATTTTTCAAATATATTACTATTATGATCTGGTAAACTTGGATCTTTTATGAAAACGCATTTTAGGACTGTGCTTGAAGTTCTTTCCTCTCAATATTTAACACGAAAATACATTGTGCATATTTTTATTATTTATCGATTGCATTGTAAAAGTTTACTGTATGCGCATGATTTCTAACATTTGGCAATTCGTAAAGCTCTTGAATATAAGGAGGATTTAATCTTTATGTATAATTTCATTATATTTTAGTAAACATATTTCTTTAACTCCGATAAAATGTTTTATTATATTTTCTTTAGAACAAAATGGGGACGCTCCAAAAAGTACAGGTTTTTTACAAGATCTAAAAATAATATTCGCTACACAAAAATACTACAAAACTTTTGATTTTTGATTTTTTGGTTTGTGTCTTAAAATGAAAAGCTTTTTTATTGGCAAGCTTTTAAAAGACTTTTATTTCACCAACTATTTATTTTTATTATCACGGGTAATATAATATTGTGCTAATTTATTTGCCTGTTTTTCATGTTCTCAGCTAGGGTTTAATAGTTCCTATAAGCAACAACAAAAAAATAAGTAAATAGATTTTCCTTAGTTTCAAATCTTAGACTAAACTTAACTCCTAATTCTAACTTTATCTGCGATTATACCTCGGCTATGGGCTCTGAGCTTTTGAGCTTTTGAATCGAAGTTTCTTCAAATGTGGGAATGTGTTGATAATGCGACGGTAGCTAGTTGTTATTGTGGTCACGAATGTTAACGCTGCTCTCAACGAGTTGCAGTGGCTAGCTCAAAGATTTTGCGTGTTCGTCATACCATAATTAATGTTTTTGTGTGATTGCCCGCCCGACCGAGAAGAAGTTTCAGAATTTATCGTCAGCTTTAGTTAAGGGATATCTACGTCCTCGTGGTGTGTCGTCGTCCGCTAGGTCGAACCAGTGGTCTATCCTCCCTCTTCCCATGTCCGCAAGATGTGTACCGACCATACATACAGACATTGGATACATACATACATACATTGGCGGCAATAATTTCTCTCTCCCCTCTCCCGTAAAAAAAAAAATTAATTTGCTCTTGTGTAAATAAAAACAGTAAGCAAGAAGTGTGTATGTATGTATGCCTAATTGTGCTAGAAGACGATATTCGTGCCGAGCTAACTTACATACATTTTTACATATTTATATATATTTATATGTTATACGAGTATGTAATGTATGGTACCCAGGGGATACCACGGGGAGGCCATTACAATTGTAAAGGGATCTTACATTTACATAGCCATCGAGTCGACTTCAAATATTTAAATGATAAAAATATTTCCATGTTCCCCAACTAATCTAGTTTTCTAACTATTTCTTTTCGATATATTTTCGCGGATATTGAAATATTTTTTACGTATATACTAGCAATTTGTACTATATTATATAGTATAATATATAAATAATTAAAAACTTCATAGGCAACAACAAATTATTATTAATATTGAAATTAAATACATATACTTTTATAAAAATAAAATATATTTTATAAAAGTAATTCATAATTAAAAATGAATATTTGTTATTTATGTTGCGAGGAACTTTTCTATTTTAGTTACCAGCCTTGTGGTCTGGTATACTAATAGTAAAAAAATAGGATTTTACGATGTTAATCGGAGTTGAGAAGCTTGTGCTCTTTATTCTCAAGAATACAAAATCAAACCAAACTAAAAGCTTTTTAAGACTCGCAGCGCCCACGAAAATATGCTTTGAATTGCGACTGCGCACGAGCATCCAGTCCACTATGGGGAATTCCAACTGATTTGTTAACAGAAATGTGTTTTTATAATTTTTTGGCAAATTTTGAAAAATTTTTTAAACGGATTTAGAATTGATCAAAAGTTTATGTTATGTATCGGAAATGTTAAATAAACACTCCAATGTTAAAAAATAACATCTGAAAAGTCAGCTGTTGCAGACATGAGGCACGTGCCATCGCTGAGCTTTATTTTTTAGTGCCTACTAGAATTCATATCTTTTCAACCACAAGGCATAAAATTTGAAATGAATACTCATTCTTCAAATGTGTACTATGTGCTTTTACTAATATGTTTTTTATTTTTTGCGGGTAAACTTAACAGTTAAGTGTGCTAGCTCATGTTGTAGAGTTATCAATTCCCCGTAGTCATAACTTTTTACGCCTTTTCGTGATATTTAAACTTTTAGGTACCAACCTCTCGATTCGCAATGCGGCCCTAGTTGAAGTGTGTGGTGCATGCTAGCTCGTGATAAACTAAATGCAATGTTCCAATTAATTTTTGTGGGCATATCGACGACAGCATATTTGAAATTAATTAAAGTCACTTATGGAAGAAAGCGCGCACACTTTATGTGATAAATGGAAAATATGCAACAGAAAGCTGGATAATGTTGCAGCAAAATACCCGGCATGGACGGAAGGCAATCTTAGCTTGAACAAAAGACACTAGTATAATAAAAGATGCGTAACGCCATACGATTTTTTTTGTGCTGGCTCTTTTTGACCAGCTGGCTCAGGGAAAATTAACGTGGGTTTTGTGTTAAGATGAACAAGAGTGTCACAGCTATAATACAGTAGACAGAGATACGATAGCTGCAAATACGATAACCAAACGGCTAAGAATCAGACAAGAAAGTGGACCAGATGTTATTGGCCTCGTGTTATACCCACCCTACCTGTGAAATCCCTTTTACAACCGTTGCTTTACATACCCTATGGTGCCGAAAAAGACATTAGATTAATTCATATTCGACACCATAAAAGCAAAGATAAAGATAATATTTCGATACATTTTCCTAATCTAATCCTTAAAGATAGAGGTTTAGGTATTTACGTTATTTAGTAATTTCTTATTTAGTAATTTTGTTTATTTACAGCAAATAAAAAGAAAAAGTATTAAGATAGGAATGCAGATACTGTGAGTTTACGTTACATTACGTCTTCGGTTTACTTTACATCAAGTCAACTACGATTAATTGTTATTGCGATACTCCCCATTTGGAGTATTGCGCTGCTCCGCAAGTAATTCTGGGTCGGCTTGCCGCTCATGTCTCGATGGCGCGATTCAACGTTGCTGGCGATTGGAATGCATCCCACTGGCTCTGGGGTGCGGGAAGGAGCAACCAAAGAGGCCTTTCACAGGCGAATCTCGTCCTAAACTCAGAGGTGAACTCGCTAGCAACAGGAGGACCAACAAGATACCCGTACGGCAGTAGAGGCTCTCTAGGCTACATTGATTTTGCGCTGACAAGGGGTGTGCTGGGCATCCACGCTAGCATATGTGCGGTTGTTGAGCTTAGCTCCGACCACCTGCATCTGGTAATTACGGTGGATGCGGGGGCAATATGCTATCCCAAAATGGAGCGGCTAATCACTAGGAGCACTAGCCTGGAGGTATTCCAATCGCAACTGGAGTCAACTCTGCCCCTCAACACTGCCTTAAACTCCGAACAGGATGTTGATGATGCAATTGATCTGTTCACCAACAACATAAAGACAGCAGCTAGATTTACAGCCCGCGGCTGAGAAGAGGAACTTACGCACTAGGGGTGGATGAGCTCTCGCCACCCGCTGGACAAGACGGAATGGAATCGAGCGCTTAGTAGGCTCAGTTGCGCGTTGGTGCTGCACAATTCCGTATGGTTCGACGAAAGGCTTTCCAACACTGGAGTCGAAGGTCCTACAGGTCCCGATGCGAGCACGACGCAGCCGATGGTATCCAAGACTTTGCAGATCGGTTCTCGGTATGGGCAAAGCGTTGAAACATCGGCATCAATAGCAGTAAATCCACCAACGTCCATATCGAGGGAGTCCCCTTACCACAGCCGAACGCAGCAAAGTACGTGCTGCTGGACCGCAGACTCACATTTACCAAGCATGTGACTGCCATCAGAACACGCTTACGTGCTAAGGTGGCGAAGCACTACTAGCTACTCTGCTCGCGCAGTAAACTGTTACTCTCCAACAAGCAGACAATTTACAAACAGATCATAGCACCAAACTGGAAGTACGGGTGCCAAATCTGGGGCTTGGCATGTGACAGCCAAATCAAAAGGATCCAGGCTATCCAAAATAAGGTCGCAAGACTCATCACCGGCTGCGAGTGGCTCGTGCGAAACACAACCCTGCACTGAGACCTCAAACTCGCGACGATATTTGACGAGATAAACCAGCACTCGAGTCGATACCATGACAGGCTGGAGCGCCACAGAAATCGACTTGCCAGCGCTCTAAGCAGATCTCGCCCACCAGAAGGCAACCGAGGGATCTCATTTCCCGATCTCATTTGACTAGGGCCAGCAGAAGCTGACCCTTATCATAAATTATTTGTTATCTGTGATTGTTTTGTTATTGTTAAAATTTTGTTAAATTGATAAAGCTAACTAGACTATAGTTAGTCGGCGCGCCCAAATGGGCTGAATCAATAGAGAAAAAGGACATAAAGGGGTTCCCAGATATCCCCGTACGCCTCAATAAAGCTTTAAGAAAAAAAAAAAACAAAAGTTGTGTCAACCAACCAATGAGTTGGGCGGGTACATACAGAGACATAAAGGTTGAATACGAGAGTGAGGACAGTTGGGAGGAGGAACGAGCAAGCCCGATAGCAGATCAGCCGTTAGCTAGTCCCCCCTTAAACAGCATCATGGACCCCGCTCAGATCAAAGCACTTGTCGAAAATGCCGTCAGACAGGCATTGGCACAACAGCAGTCCCAGTTTCAAACACAAATAAACTCCCTAGCTGCTCGGGTACAAAGTTTGCAGGTGGAGACACCGAAAATCATCACGTACGAAAAGGTTACTGTGAATCCTGAAGTTAGGTGTGACTTACCACTAGACATAATCAAGTCCGTGCCAGAGTTCTCAGTTCTCAGAGTATGTGGCCTGCAGGCAATCGGCCATATATGCTTCCAGGGTAGACAAGGGAAAGACAACAAGGAAGAACAGAACCAGGACAGAAATCCACACTTTGTCAGGCGACAAAAAACGACAACCAGCAGCGCACTGAGTACAATAAGAACAACCGTAATGAGTCCAATGCTTCTAAGAGGAGAAATTCCTCGGACCGTTCGACAGGTCCAAGACGCCAATGTGTCAACCATGTTGTCCAAGAAACCCCTAAGGCAAAAGACCCCAAGCAGGAGTATGAGAAGGCAGCAAAGGCTGCAGTCGAACATATCGACAGTGACAATGAATACGCTCCAAGAGATGACTCATTGAATTTTTTAGGGGTCGCTTCCGGTTGCCGTTCATTGAACGACGGTTGGCTGGGAGAACTTTAAAGATGTTGATTGACACCGGCGCGGCAAAAAATTACATTAAGCCCGTTAAGGAGCTAAAAAATGTAATGCCGGTCGAAAGTCCGTTCTCGGTGAGCTCA